TTAATCATTAGAATATTTTTTTTACAGATCTATGATTCCTGCCTGGGAAGAATTACTGCTTTTTAATGAAAATTATTCGTATTTTATACAATTAAAAGAAGACTATCCTAAAGTAATTGTTTTTTTCGAGGTAAGCAAAAAGCTGTTATTAGAAAAAAATATTGTAAAAAAACAACTACTGTAAAATCTGTATTAGAAACCGCGGCTTCTATTAAAATGGTACAATGCAACAGAGGGGATGCGGCTTCTAATAGAGCATCTACACATATGAGAAATGATGAATTTTTGGTTCTCAATTATTCAAAAAAAATGGGTGCGACTTCTATTAGGGATGCGGCTTCTAATACAGATTTTACGGTACTGTGTCTGGTCCTAAGAAAAAGTCTATTTGTTTTCTGAAATCAAAGTACTTATTAATAAGCTGCTCTTTGTTTCTATTTGAAAATTGTTGTTAAATTTATTATTTTTCATGAAAATGCAAAGGCAAAAAATGCTTTTAACTTGTAACTATAATCATGAATATTTTGGTATTTGTGTGTGTGTGTGGGGGGGGGGGGGGTATACATACATAGAACCTCACCAGACCATTTGCAGCTTTCATAAAGGCTTCTATGGAATTTAGATAAGTTCATTTCTCATCCTTATATTCAGCTGTTAGATTTCATCAGTATGAACGCCGCTACTTATAACAATGTTAGGAACGATGGCGGATGGCATCGGGTAGCGTGGGCATTTTTAAAAATTGTCGGCAGTCATGGTGCACCTAACACAGGAAAGAAAATCCGACTTCAATTATTTTACCCGCCAGTGAACTACCGAGCTAAACAAGGGTCTGTAGAAGTAAGTGAAGTGTTTTATCTACGAGTATTTGTTATTTGGTACAAGCGTGACTTGATCTCATAAGCAAATAGCCAACCAGCATCGAATTCCGATATGTTAGTTTTGTATCACGTACATACCCCTCTGCCGAAATATCAATGTGGGTGAAAATTAGTGCACCTAATGGAAATCATGTAAATCCTGTGTAATTGTTCCATATTTGGTATTCTCATTTTTTATTATAATGGGATGCTAATATAAAGTGCAATACCGCAAAGTTACGACGCAATAAACTCATGGTGAGTTTACATACATGCACTCTATTGTGAGGTTTACAAAACTTGCGTGACGATTGAGTGAAAATATTGTTATGGTATTTATATCATTTGCATTTCTGATATGTTACATTTCTAGGTGTACCAATGGTGGTTGAATCTACCACGTCAACCGTACCCATCAACGCTGTACGTAACGTTAAAAGGGTTACAACCCCCTAATAATATCCAGCCCGCTGTCAGGTCATTCTTTGCTACACAAGAGGTAAGTAGTCTACTCATTGTTATTACTTTAAGTTAGATTAGTCATAGTATTGTGATGGTACAGCTACAAATCATAGCTGCAAAAGCACTTTTAGTTTTATGCATGTAACTTGTTGCGTGGGGTACAAGAATTGTAGATCAAACACTGTTGCTGTAAATAAAGTTGGTAATTGTTGTCAGTAGTTTGATCTCATATACTGTGCTGTACCAAAGTTACGGCATACAACTGCGGCAATTCTAGAATGCTTTTTTTTGGCTTGTTCACTGAGATACTAATCATGACAGCGCAAAAATTAGAAAAACACTAAATTTTATGGTATGTGGCAATTGAGCAAATTTTGATCACTTCTGACGTTATTAGAAGAAACTACCGGCATATGTTGTTACATTGATTGTTTATTTTCAGATTTTCAGACTGAAATCATTGGAGTAAACACCAGTCTGCTACCATGGTAACTTGGTGTTATCCACTTGATGTCGTAATTCTAATAGTTTGATTTTTATTTTCTCAACAGGAGGAAGGAACAATGACATACAAAGATCTGAAGAAAAGTGTTGGATGGGGAATGTCTTCAGCATCCACAGGAAGGTAAACAAAACATATAGATACGAGTGGCCTTATCAACAATAATGAACCTCCCACAGCACCACAGTGAATGACGAACTGGATCCATGTGAGATTGTGGGCAACCACACTATCAAGTATTAAATAGACCATTTTTGTGTTCACTGCGAGATCCAGCATATTGTGTAAAATCAAAAGTAAAAGCAGGGAAAACAAAGGTCATAGTGATGTCAAAACATGGTAAAACTATTTTTTTCGGTATTTCCACACCTAATATTGTGCTATAATATGTAATATGACAACAATTGTTATTTTTATTACAGAGGTAGAGACAAAGGCAAGAGTGGTAATCCAGCCATGTGGTCCAGGCTACCGGGCCAGACCTGTCATGTACCGAATAAACCAACCTACTCTCTCTCCGCTGGTAGGAAAGGATGTTTTGTATTGAAATTCTCACATGATGGAAGGTAATGTTGCATTTTTATTCCACAAACCTCTTTTTTATCAAAGACATAATAAATATTTAGCACTTATGTACTGTTCATAGTTGTAAGCTGACATATTATCTGGGGTGGACATCCGTGCATTTTCACCGCCTGGCAACCATCATGATAAAAACAGGCTGAAAACTCTCAGAAAACTGTACTTTGGGATAGTTGTTGAGACTCTCCTGAACAGTGTAATCAGTGTAATTTAGTTGTTTGGGCTTTCCTCAAAGTTGAGTTTGTTCTGTTTTCTCGACTTCAGCAGTTTTCATCAACTTTTCAACCGGCGTTTCACAGCAGTATACACATAGTCAATGGCATTGTTGTGTGTGTCCAAACATCATAGAACGTTCTGTGACGTAGCTATACCACCGAGAATAGCAATTTAGACCAACACTATGAGTAATTACCTGTTGTACTGAGATGAGAAACCAACATATACTTCAAGTCAACAAAAACATTTTACAGGATTAGAATGAAGTGTTTGAAATGTTATGTTGTGACAAAAATGGCCACCAGTCAGAAAATTCACAACAAATCTAGAATATAAATTGACATGCATATATATGCGTTTATGTTTTGGTTAATCTTGGCATATTTGAGGAATAACAATCGATGAATGTGTGCACAGATTTGAAAATTTTCATTCCTGTCTCTACCTACAAAACAGCATAAGTTTACTTTAAAGCTGGATCTAAACTTACAAGTGTGTATCATTATTATAACTAATCTTAACTTAGTCATTGTAGTATTTACCAGTGTAACCAATATGGTAAATATTTAGTGAGATGACTCTACATAATTTAGATATGTGGCAGAAAACATAGTACGGCTTCAAGTCAGCTAAATATTAATTTATGCTTGAATTGTAACTGTACCTCTACCCTATTTAGAAATTAACACACTATTAATTTTATTTGGCCATAATGTTTTACTGAGAGTGAAACAACCCATTTACACTTGTACATTAGATGCGTATTTGACTACTTCTTATTTATTTTATTTGTGTGATTTTTCATGTATTTTTATTTTGTAGGAGTCTTGCGTGTGGTGGTTCTGATAAAGCCAGTTATCCCATCTATATCTATGAGGTGAGTTTATAAGTCGTATCCTAGGGAGTCATGTATGTATAATAAACATCAACTAGGGAGTCTTATGATTGAGTGCCGTATTTATACCCACCTTTGGAAACATTTCATATTTCTAGTAATATGTAATAAATATGAGTGAGGAAGTATTTTTTAGCGAACATTAGCTAGGAAGTCTTGTGTAGATAATATACTGTAAAACGTATTTAAATAACCACATGCCATTTTAGCGAATTTGATTCTATGCATGAATTGACTCAATCTACCGATTATTTTAGCTAAAGTGTCAACAATCTCATTGTGAGAATATACTTTATTTTAAATTAGTGACATCTTGAATTAGTGAAATTACAGATTAGTTAAATTAGTTAAAATAACATGCTAGCTAAAAAGACATGTTTTACAGTACATCACCTAGGGATATAAAACATGTCAGCTAGGGAGTCATGTGTAGATAATATACATCACCTAGGGATATAAAACATATCAGCTAGGGAGTCTTGTATACTACAATGTGAAATTAACTATGTATGGGAACCCATTGTGCCTATTCACATTCTAGTATTTGTTGTATGCATACTGTTCTGAATCATTGCAATCTGTATCGCTTCATTTGCAGATTCCGTCGGGCAGACTCCGTGGTGAACTACCGGGACATTACAGCATTATTTACGATTTATGTTGGTCTGACAACGATCAGGAGATATTATCAGCATCGTCTGATGGCACAGCTAGGTATGATAATATTGAAAATCTTTTTCTTTTTTTTGAATATGCTAAACATTCTGTGAGTTATTGTATCTAAAGGATGGTAGTCTTGGGATGCAATCTGTTCTTATACAATGTATCTTTAACCCGTTAAATGCCAGACTGTTTCCAGCCAAAATGTTGATTCATCAATTTTTAGTCCCCGTTCGGACGAAGTCCGAAAACGGGGACTTATAATTCGGTCTCCGTCCGTGCGTCCGTCCGGAGTCATGTCTCAGAATCCCTTTGACCGATTCCGTTCATTCTTTCGCATGTGCCTAGTACTTCATCTGGGACATATGCACATGCTGTGGTTTAGCGATTCGATTCAAAATGGCCAACTGGCAGCCATCTTGTTTTTTGAAAATGTTGTATTTTGGACATGCTTTGTCAGTTTAAGGTGATAAAGGATGATTTTGGTGATCAAAGGGTTAATGTTGTCATGGTGACTGTTTCACAGACTGTCTTCTGAATATTTGAGTGGTTTATTATTGTTTTAGAATCTGGGATACTGAGTCTGTGGGTGCGACAGCAATACGTATATTCCCACATCCAGCTTATGTCTACACAGCGCAGTATCACCCACAGTCGGAAAATATCGTTGTGACGGGAGGGTTTGATCATGTTATCAGGGTATGGAATAAAAAGAGTGCTCAAGTACACGGAGAGGTGAGTATTCAAGTATGAACTGTGAATTGTCAAATTTGCATATTTGTAAATACATTTCTTTCTTGTTGTAAAGTGACAATAGCTGTGATTTTGAACATATTTTTGTTTTAACATAGAAATTACAAAATCACACCAAAATATTATTTTAGACACAATTGCATGGACAAAAGTGCCCCTTACACAAAACCATGTCACACAAGATGCGAAAACTAATTGTCGCCCTCTAGTGACCTAGACATATTTGATGTACATTGTCAGTATATAGCGTATATGCTATGCTTTCAGTGTCCACATTGCAGCGATCACCATTACAATTTGATACTAATGCTTAATTAAAAACAAAAATCAGAAAAAAAAGATTGATTGTTACAGCTATTTAAAGGATACTACACACTATTAAATGTTAGAATTGCAAAAAATGTCTCTTTCAAACATCTTAATTTTGTCATGTATTTCTTTGTTAAATTAGAACCAAATGGACATAAATTACTGTAAAAGGATTAATTATTCACTGGGTTTTATTTTTTTTGTTATTTCGCTGACTGGAAAATGCGCTAAATTAAAACCCAGTGAATATGTAAAATTCAGCATAGAACACATTATCTAAATGATAAAGCCGTGAATTTAAACCCCACTTAATATGCCTGAAATGGTAAATCAGCGAAATTTAAACCCAGTGAAAATTAGTCATTTTACAGTAACTTTGACTTAAAATGTTTAAAAAATATTTTAAAAAACATGATGCGAGTTTATTTGGTGAAGGGTATCAGAGAGAATTAATTTAAAAGGTAGTATAAACAAGATTCTCCAAAATTAAAGATTAAAAATTCAATTTTTAGAATGAACTTATTTTCAGTCAAACACAGTTGATCTGTGATTCAAATATTCAGAATGACTCTCACCTTTATTTAACCTTTTCACCTCCTTCAACTTCTTGAGCCAACGTACATTTTTGTCACCATTCACAAAAAAAAACCCCTCTATTTTTTTTTTTTTAAATACCTGTAGTCATTAGTCAAATTATAAAAAAAAATTATTAAAACAAATGCCTAAAAATAGAAAAAATCAAAAGGTTGGTGGGGAAATATTATGGTGCCCAAAGTGATAATGTTTTGTATACTGTACTGCTAGCTGCACAGTGGTCAATTGTCAGATACTCTTTGAGTATATTTGAGTTCTTGCGTCTCATTTAACCACGAACTTTGTATTTGCTTTACAGCTTCTTCACGAGTTGATCGGCCACAAAGGTTACATCAATTGTCTGTGTTTTAGTCACGAAGGCGATAAGTTATACTCTGCTGACAGCGTTGGTTCTATTATTGTATGGAATGCATCAATGCATCTCAGGCAACGTAGCGCTGGTAAGGATGTAAATTATTACGATCTCTGCATACCATGTGGTCCAGAAAATCCTGACTCTTTAATCTTTTCACCACAAGTTCCCTCTTTTCATCACAAATTTACAAATTGTGTTATAGTCTGCACTTTCCTTCAGAAGTTTGAGACAAAAACAGCCAATTTTTTTTGAGTGAAAACTGAAAATTAACCCAAATTTTCTCTGTTGGCTTCAAAATTAGGGTTCATTTCCAGAAATATTGTTAAAAATTTTGAAAAAAGTTCAGAAAAACTTTGGTGAGAAAGTCTGGGGGTGAAAAGGTTAATGCACTTTGATATACCTGCATGGTTTCACCTTGAGGGAGAAAGAGTCATTTTGATAAAATTGGCAAGGTCACATTAGTTTCACTATGATCCCCAGTTTTTTACAACTTTTCTGTTTTTTTATCATCAGCTGCGAAAAATAAATGGTCGATAGAAAAGACGATTGCAGAAAAAGAAATGGAAGGTGTGACCATCAACAGTATCAAGCTACATCCCGGCGGGACTCGACTGTTGGTACACGGCAGAGATAACAACATCCGAATGATTGACCTCAGGATGTGAGGTTTGACCTTTCTGTTCTCATCTCCAATAATGGTGTAACCTATATATTTAACAGTATATCCATCTTCCAAACTCTTTGGTCTCTGATAGTCCTGCAATTATTTTGTATTTTCCTGTTTGTATTTATCATTATCCATATAATTTGATTCCCTGTATCATTTTGTTTCATTTCGAACAGATGCATGTAAACCAAAATTACATCTATTGTAAACTGGGTTATTTAAATAACTTACATTGGCACTCTGTCATTTTAAAGCGGAGGGTTGTCACCTGCGCAAACACAGAAATTGAGTCCCAAGCGACGATAACAACACGCGCTAAAAACGCAAAGGCTCAATGGTAGACGCTTGTTTGTAAACAATGACACGCTATGACCATCTGACGCATGCACAGGTGATGACTCCCTCGCTTTAAGAATGTAGTTGAAATTTTCAGGAAGTTAAATTCACACTAATTAAAAATCGATATCATGTTACATACAATCTCTTGAAATATTTTTACAGATATACAATTATGCAGAGATATCTTGGTGCTTTGAATTTTCGTGAACAACTAAAAAGTTCGCTGTCAGCATGTGGTACGTTTGTCTTCTCCGGGAGTGAAGACTACCAGGCGTATGTATGGAATACCGATACAGGTAACTGACACTCACTGTATTGTAATACAGATACTTAGATAATGGACATTTTATACTATCCTCCTCTACTCTACTCTATTTTACAAATAACTAAAACTTCACTCGAAACAACAATATGAGAACCAATCATATTAATCGAGTGAGATACAAATCAGACATATTTTGTGCAATGTAGTTTGTAACATGGGCTTTGATTGGATATTTGAAGAGAAACAGAGTCTATAAATGTCCACCTATAAAAAAACAAGAAAAAGAAAAATCCAATGTCTTTCAAGAACTTGTAAATACAGTATGTGCTCTATAAGAAGTGCTTTTCCAATAAAATTTCAGGTTAACTAAAATTTCATTTATTTTGTAGAATTGTTCATTAAAATATGACTTATTTTGGCTATACATGTTGACACACCACTCATTTTTCGTAAATGTATGCTACTTATAGAGAGAATATAGTACACTTATTTCATTCAGTATCATCATCCACTTTCTGTGTCAATTGATTCCTGAGAAGTGCCAAACTGTCAGTGTTTTCTTCCTGATTCCCTCAATATCTACTGAATTGTCATTTCAGGCGATCAAGTCGCTATCTATTCTGATTTGGGATATACGAATCCCGTGTCCGACGTCGCTTACCATCCATTTGATCACATGATAGCGTTCTGTTCTTTTGGTGAAAATCATCCGGTACAAATCTATAATTATGATGCAAAAGGTAAGAACATAATATTTTATTTTTTTTAGCTTATTTCGTTGGTTGGGCTAGATTAAAATCAATATGTGAAATAAACAATATTATATACAAGGCTTGTACGTAATTCTGATGGCATTGATTTGTTTAAATTGATTTTGACTAATTGAAATTGTATTGTCAAAGTTTCAAAATTTCCTATGGTACCAAGGCTATCAGGGTGGGGCATCTAGACATATGTCCCTGCAGCCTCTGTGAAGTATGCGCCAGGATTATAATTATCGATCACTCAACATGAAATACTACTATTAAATATGGATTATTTCTCAGTAATTGGAAATGTATTATCGATGCTGTGGACTTTCAGATAGGGGAAACACAGTGACTTGTAAAATCTGTTGTGTTCAATAAATTAGAAATGTATATATTATTATTATATAATTTATTGTGGTAGTGTATTTTTGTAGCTGAGATATTATGACATAAGAAATTAAGAATAAAATAGGTTACCGTGTGTTATGTTCATCTTGTAGTTGCCCAGATTGATCTGGGTATCCGTGAACTGAAAGAGATTGATAAATCCAAAGATGGCACCAGTACATTACAAAGTACTGGCTTATCCGATTTACAAGCTGTCTTGGCTACTAAGGACAGGATAGAAGAAGCTGTGAACGCCCAACAAGCCAGACGAATGGACCAAGTATCTAAGAAATTAGCGTCAGTTAACGTGAGTATCATATCCTCAGATTTAGATTTTTTTTATTATCTGCTGTTCTTCTTGTGGTTTTCCATTATGGTGTCCTCTTAGGGTGACTTGAAACTCTTTTGTTTTTAGCTCTACCTTTTGGTGCTAGAGGGCACTGCATTAAAAGCATGCTGCTATACTTAATATAGCCTTTTTTCATTGTAACTCCTAGCCAGACTAGTCTTTGATTTGTCATTGACTTGTAATTGCTTTTGTTAGTAAGGGTTTTAAACTGCTTAAGATATCCAGTCGTGTGTTGACCATCTTTAGTGTGATGCCCTCTTGTATCTTATAATTCTTTTGTTTTTATGCAGTGTAAAGCTAAAAACCTGCTGCAATCGTACTATTTAGCATCCAAGCTGTGTCAGTTTCATCCCTGTTATACCTATTGTGTTTTTTTTCCAATTGTCCATTACCTATTGTTTTATCCATTGTCATTGCCTATTGTGTTATCCTTGCCTTCACCCATTGCTTTGATTGGAACTTGCAGGCTTTTAGCAGGTTGCTTGGCGAAGTACGAGAACGGAATCAACAAGAGGTGGCAATACAATTCAATAATTATATTTATGTTAACGAACAAATTCTTGTTATATCTTAATGGATGACACTGAACACCCTGAACAGCATAATAGACCATTTTTCGTTCACTGCGTGATCCAAAGTTATGCCTGAAATGGAATATAAAAAACAGGCAAAAAAAAAACATAGTATCAAAGTGGCATAAAAACATTGCATGAGGTTCAACTAACGAGAAAGTATTTTGGTGTTATTTGCATGAAGTAACGATATCTCTATGCAATTTTTCACGCTGGAAGATTGACAATTCAATATAGAAATCATTTGACTTTTATGGTGTTCATTCCAGCCATTCAGCACGATCTCAAAATGAACTGGAAATCGCCTGGGATTGACTTATTAATGCTTTCTCATAATTTATCAGCGAAATTAATAATTTGTTTTTAGTACTGTGTCATTTTTAGACCAGACTGATACTTTTCCCAAATTTCAGAAACTGATCAATGTGAACAAAATTGATGATTGTAATGGAAAAGTCAAAGTTCACATGTTTATTTATGTAAATGTGATTGGACCATGGTGTTCAGTGTTGTCAGAACCAGTAC